GAACCTCTGACCACTGCCACCCCGACCACTCGCCCAATGCCCCCTCCGCCCCGGCCATTTTATTCAGCGTCGCACCGCGCGCCCCCCCATCCCCCCCCCCGCCCCCTTCTCAACCCTCCCCAGCGTGCCCCAACGGCCAAGTGGAACGTGTCCCTAATGCCCCTCCGCCCCGACCACTTTCTTCCGCGTCGCACGGCACTCGCCCCCTCTCCCCGCCGCCCTCCCACCCATCCCAAGCCCCAACGGTCCAGGGGCACCTCCACCCAATGCCCCCTCCGCCCCGACTATTTTATTCCGCGTCGCACCGCGCCCGCCCTCCTCCTCTCCCCAGCGTTCCCCACAAGCCCAGTGGAACCTCCGCCCAGCACCCCCTCCGCTCCAACAATATTGCACCGCGTCGCACCGCGCGCCCCCCCTCCCCGCCTCCCAACCCCAGCGGTCCAGAGGAACCTCCGCCCAATGCCCCCTCCGCCCCGACCATTTTATTCCGCGACCCCGCCACCCCCTCCCGGGCGTTTCCCAGCAACCCTCCGCCCCGACCATTGAATCCCGCGTCGCGTCGCCCCCCCCCCTCCCAAGCGCTCCTCAGTCCTAGTGGAACCCCCGGCCAATACCCCCTTCGCTTCGAGCAATGTTATTTCGCGTCGCGTCGCGCCCCCCCTCCCTCCCCAGCGTACCCATGTGTCCGAGTGGAACCCCCGCCCAAGTGCCCCTCCGCCCCGACCACCATATTCCGCGTCGCGTCGCACCCCCCTCCTCGCCCCCGCCGCCCCAGCCCAAGCGTCCCCCAGCGGCCAAATGCCCCCTCCGCCCCGACCATTTGATTCAGCGTCGCGTCGCACCCCCCTCCCCAGCATCCCCCCGCGTCCCAGTGGAACCCGCGTCCAATGCTTCCCCGCCCCTCCGCCCCGACCGCCCCCACCGTCCCGCTCCCCGACCCTTCTCCGATTTCTCGTCCCCTCTCTCCACCCTCCTCCTCCTCCTCCTCCTCCTCCTCCTCCTCCTCCTCCTCCATCCTCCTCCTCCTCCTCCTCCTCCTCACCTCCTCCTCCTCCTCCTCCATCCTCCTCCTCCCCTCCTCCTCCTCCCTCTCCACACCTCCTCCTCCTCTTCCTCTCCTCCTCCTCCTCCTCCTCCTCCTCCACGCCTCCAGCACACACCAGCACCAGCACCAGCACCAGCACCCGCACACCGCACCCGCACCCGCTCTCCGCTACCCGCACCCGCACCACCACCAGCACCGATCCACCGCCACTAGCACCAGCAGACCCACCCACCACACCAAGCACCAGCACACACCAGCACCAGCACCACACCAGCAACAGCACCACACCAGCACCAACATCATCATCATCATCAACATCATCATCATCATCATCAATCAACATCCCCCCAAATCATACAGCATCATCATCAATGCATCATCATCATCATCATCATCATATCATCATCCATCCATCAGCATCAGCACGCATCATCATCATCATCATCATCATCATCATCATCATCATCATCATCATCATCATCATCATCATCATCATCATCATCATCATCATCATCATCATCATCATCATCATCATCATCATCATCATCATCTTTCCGCCGTCCCTTTTGCGCAAGAGCCATGGCAGGCGTGCCACTTGTTCATCCGCCGACCCCCGCTTGCCAGGGGTGAAAAGGCGTGTGAGATGACTGGACGTTCGCCCTCCCCTCTCCCCCTTCCCTGGGGCTGAAAATACGAGCCTCCTGAGGAGGAGGAGGAGGAGGAGGAGGAGGAGGAGGAGGAGGAGGAGGAGGGAGGAGGGAGGAGGGAGGAGGGAGGAGGGAGGAGGGAGGAGGGAGGAGGAGGAAGGAAGGGAAAAGAGGCGGAGTATGATGAGGAGGCTAGGGCGGAAGAGGAGAAAGGAGGAGGAGGAGGAGGGGGGAAAGGTCTACGAGCTCCCCAGCACGTCTCCCGGAGCCAGAACGCCCGAGGACGGGCCCCAAAGCGCCCCAGGGCCGTGCAAGCGAGCGTCGAGTGGGGCCCAGGGCAGCCCCTCCACGGTCCAAGATGGCTTCCAGACGGTTCCCGAGGCGATGAGGACATCCCAAGAAGGCTCCCAGAGGACCGCCGAGAAGGCTCCAGAAAGGCAAACATCGTCCCATTCCCTCGAGAAGACGTACACCCTGCGAAATGCTTAAGAAATCATGGGTTAAGAAACTCATAGTCTCAGATCTTGAAGAAACTCATAGTCTCTATCAAAATCTTAGGACTTACATTGAAACGTTAAGAATAATCGAGACTCTGGCCGAAAACTTAGGTTTTCTTAAGCATCGCCTAGGGTGTACATGTTTAGCAAACTCGTATCCTTCATCTTCCCAGCGTTCATCACGGCTCGAGGGCCCCACACAGTGCCCCCAAGACGGCCCCGGAGGCCCCCAAGGCCGCCCGAGGACAGCCAGAGAGGGCTCCAAGACAGCCCCACGAGGGCCCCCCCGAACGGCCTACGAGGACCGCAAA